TGCTCTTGCAGCAACACCAGTGCAGTGCCTCAACAAATACATCAACTTCATTTTTGCTCTCTAAATCTATTGCCGTCAAGCAACTCTAAACGAATATATGTATTTATCAAGAAGCAGTTCATGATCTCAGTTTACATGGTTAACAGTATTTTACACCTTTTACATAATTACGTATTCTGCATTTTGGATTTTACTATGCGCAAGATTATTCCTATCACTCCTATGATCGACTGACTTGCTTGTGTTTGATTTATGTCTTATACATTATGTGAATCACCAAAACATCTTGAATATCCTTCTAAGCTTACGATAAATTACGTCTTTCTTTTCCCGTCATTTGTAACTGATTGTGTCATCACACTTCACCAATTTTCGTTTCCATAAATTACAATGGGTCCGAACCCTGGAGGTGGTCGCGTATTGCCGAAGAGTCCCAAACTAGGGTGAAACGGCTCTCCAGTACTCCTTGGTTTTCAATGGTTCACGAAGTAATATCAGCTCATGATGAAACCCTCCAACCAAAAAAAATGGATGTCCTCATTTTTTTAATACCAAATATATTTTGGACTGCCTGAAGTTGAAGAGAATGCACGTAATAAAGTCTGCACATACTGTGCTACAAATTATGCTCTTGTTTTGATAAGGATGAATATGAAGCCAAAACACTTTTATTCTTTACAGAAAGTAAACTAACAATAAAAAAAGCTGCTCACACATTTAACCATCCATATATTTCTTAACTCTGTATAGTTTCAAGTTCGTGGTGTATCGTCTACTGAGAAATACGTGTGAATGGTTCAAAAAGTTAAAAGCTAATTTACAGTTTGTACAAAATCTTTATTATGCTTTAATATTCCTAGGTTATTTATTGATTGTTTTGAAACGTGTAACTCCAGGTGCTAAGGTCAGATTAATTACAGATTTATTTTCATCGAAATTTTACAATCATTATCTCAGACACATGTTATTCACTTGGATGTTTAGGCACCTTCACTACATACATTTACATTATTCAGTAGAAAATTTTATCTACCAAAAAGAAAAGACTGTTTTAACACTTCCATGCCAAGCATTTCACCAATATTGATGTTAGCGTTTCATTCGAAAAAGTAAGTGCTATTAGAAGCTGATTATATGAAGGTTTGAAATAGAAAAAACCTATGTATATCAACAGCCAGAATATACAATACAAATGAAACACACCAATACAAATGACACATAAAAAACACAAACGGACATAGACAAAGAAACAGATACTTCTGTTTACTGCAAAGTGGCCATCGAGATCCAGAAGATGAAGAGGATAGCCGATGACATTTAAGACGATGAGTTATATATATATATACAATGTTCCATTTTACTACTCCTACTACGAATGCAACTAATAAAACTTACAAAATTGACAACCAATTAACCGATATGCGTGAGTAACAATCTGATACGAAAATCGCCTAGCCACAATCTACTCGTAAGACATGATAAAGCAAAAGACACGCTTGATTTGCACACCGCGCTATTAACACCGATATATTCATCCGTAAACGCTGGATGGCCATTCACAAACAGCACTACTCCCCAAGTCGTTCGCTAATGTATGAGTTAGCTAGGGACTCCCAGTGTGTATGTACACACGTATGTACACATAGTCTGAGACTGAGATACTCACAGTCATCCACCGAACTGTTTAACCACTATTCATCTACTCACTGTAGTGAGAGGCAAATTTATTTCGTTGTCGGAAATCTGTAGTGAAATGGCATGATGAGGACCAACGCATTTCACCATTAATCTCTACACTCCATGCTCAATGCATTCCATCTCACCGACTCAATTACTCCAATGAATCTGTACATTGGATGTTTGCTTCAAAAGAAATGTAATAATAATAATAACAGCTTTATTCCAAACAGTATTTGTGGTACAGGTATGGAATTTTCAGCGTGCATTACAGTGTATTGCATCTAATTACCTCATAAATTATATAAGATTTTTAAAAATCAAAAATAAATAAAAATAAAATAAATAAGTTATAGATAAATAAAATAAATGAATATTAAAAATTAAGAAAAATAAAAACAAACAGCGTAGAGTATTTCATTTCAAACAATGCACCACAGGATTTGAAATATAAAGTTGATGTGTGGTAGTAGATGAGAACAACAGTGTAGTAGTAACGAGGAAAGGAAAACAAAAACTAATGAGACTATTTGTTAGAGTGCTGCAGTAAGTTTATCGTGTCATACCTAACGGATTTCTCATCACATAACAGCTGTGCCAGATATGGTATTGTGGAGTTTTTGTATTTGGTAGTCCTAGCATATAGCCTCCTATAGCTGCTTCTAGTTCTTCCAGATGAAATGCAAGGAGATAGATGCGTATAGAGAGGATGCTCGGGATCCGACAATATTGTATTCGCTAGTTTCTTACATGACATTATATGTCTATCTACAATAGTGTTCACCAGTTGGTTTAACGATATCCCACTTGCCCTACTAACAGCTTTTAGTGCCCTTCTCAGCGAAGCAAAGTCTTTCTTAAGTAGTCCAGGAAAGACTAATGGGGAGTAGTAAAGGAGGATGGGTAGAATGCAAGAATTTACAAACTGAGAAAGCAAAGACTGCTTTATACCAGACTGCCTAAATTTCCTAATGTAGAACGTTAGGCGAAACATCTTTCTAGTAACTAGCAAGATGTGGGAAGACCAGGAAAGATCGGTGGAAAAACTCAGCCGAAGGTACTTGACATAAGATGTATTTTCAACCTCTGTGCCGTCAATGAGAGTGGGTCCATGTGAGCTAACTAGTTGCTGTAGGTCACGTTTACGTCTGAAAGCGAAATTGACTACCTGACATTTAGACGGATTAAGCTTAAGTCCGTTTGAAGAGGACCACTGACTAATTTCCGACAGAAAGCTATTTAATTTGGAACAATCTGACTGAGAGTTGACAGGCATAGAAACCGAGAGGTCATCGGCATACTTAACAAAAGTGGCTACATCAGAATGAGGCAAGTCATGTAAGAAAAACGAGAACAGAAAGGGAGAAAGAACAGCACCTTGACGAACACCAGCTAAAGTAAGTGAGGTAGTGGAGGATTATCCATTGTATGCGATGTTCTGATTTCGTGGACTAGTGATCATGAATGCATCCTGTGTCTGCCTTTCTTTCATACACTACATTCACCACTCACGATTGTCTTGTACATACGCATTGGAGTCATCTTCATATTCCGGCCAAAATTGATCGCCATCATCATTATCATCATAACCGGTTTCAGCAGGATCAACGTTGTGAGTAACTAGTCAGTACTCCCATATAGTCAGAAGAAGCATACTCGATGACGTGTCAGGTAGAATTTGTTTGTAATCTAGTCGGATACATTTGAATTGAAGGCTGACAATGCTCTCATGTCTGACAAGAAGTAAGCAGTTCTCACTCACAGGGGAGATATCCCTGCTCACTACTTCACTAAACAACTCACACGCGACTGACTGACTGACATCTTCTTCTAGATGACGATTATGTGTCTTATCAGTTCATAGGAAGGATGCAGTCTATTCTGTGATGTGCAGTATTGAGGATGAATGGATGGATGGATGGATGGATGAATGAATGAATGCAATGTGTTAGTTAACTGACTCCGACTACTAACAGTGTTCTAAGCGATAGCCTATTGTGGACAAAATGTGATGTTGTGATAGAGACAATCTATTCCATCGGAATATTACTCTCACAAATTCCCCCAGTTCAGTGGTGCATTAGAAACAAAATACTATTTATGTCTGAACAGCCTATTTCATGTCGTCTAATGTGAATCAAAATCACACGCTCAGTGATTGGTTAAAGAATATCAACTGTATATACATAGAGATCGGTTTGATCAATGGAAAAATACCTTTGCTTCCGCGTCATTCCTTCTGTTGCTACAATAGGAGACTACCATGTTGTGACAATCAGACTGAAAACGGTGACCGATTCCTCTTCAAACAAGTCAACACAGACAGTGAGAAGCTTCCGTATAAATTTCGAAATGAGAAATTCACTCCTGACATAGTGTGTCCTGTGCTGACAGGAAGGATCTTCTTGTAACCATTGCATCATCTCATATCACTTATGTACACAGTAGATGGAATTTCTCATTAGGAATATTGTATTATGCTGCGCTTGCTATACTATGTTATTTTATCTTGTGTTGTGTTACGCCTTATTGTCTGTCAATATCTTGACAGAACTTCTCAGTCGTACATCAAGTTCTACACGAAATGAGCGACAGTCAATCAAGAAAGGGTGAATGATGCCACACAAAGCGTCAAGCGTCGTGGTGGTTCACACAGATGTGAATTCACTTCTTATTCCTACTGAAGACTACACTTATTCATCATCAGACGACTTGACGTGTGCATATTTCTACTCATAAGATGGAGAACAGAGTAAGGAGGAATACAGCTGGTGCATGGTGAAGCGATGAACAAATGGCGTTTTCTCAACCCACATCAGGGTAGTATTAATCGCACAGATGGGTGGAGTGTGTTTATCGCCTAGGGGACTGGAGTAGACAGTTGACTCTCCAGTAAACACTGTCCAGTTGGCAACTTGGACAGTCCACCTCAATTTCACGTCACTACGCTGACTTTGGCTTCCGCATAATGGAGAGACATCGTCTGACTGGCTTATCGAAGGCTTAAATTCGCCAGTTGCATCACTCCGCGAAATGAACAGCTTTTCCGATTCTGGTAGAGGGCAGGTTTACTTTAGTATGCTTCGAAGTGTCACTGGTGATAGAGTGGTTTCATACAGAGTGGTGCTTCCAGCCCTACTCCCAACATAGACTGTTTTCCGGGAATACGGACAGAATGTAAACTAGGCGAGGTCCCGATACAAACAGTGAGACTGAGTTTTCCACTCTCGATTCTCAACTGTCAAGTATTGCTACAACTGCAGAAGGCAGGAAATCCAACTATTTGACATTACAAATTTCGCAGGTAGACAAAATGCAGTTTTGAGCTGGAGAGTTTATTCGGTAATTCATGTTACGAGAGAGAGAAAAGAATGACGACAACACAGAGCACAGTGAAAGAAATCCAGTGCACACAGAATTAATGTGTCAGACAGTTAAATATTCAGTTGTCGTGTAAATAACGCTTCGAGAGGAAATTGAGACAATGAGTAAATTAAAGCCATTGATCATTTACAACACAACGACAATAAAGAAACTACAACAACAAAGCAGTGGATTTAAACAGTCGACGTCCAGTCGAACTAATATTGGAGGAGGTTAACAGTTAATGTTCAGGCTACTTCAAGCCCTTCAATATCAGAGTCATTCTCATCGTCAACCGTTGCGTCCTGGTATTGCTGATATTCACTCACCAAATCATTCATATTGGATTCAGCCTCAGTGAACTCCATCTCATCCATGCCCTCACTGGTGTACCAGTGTAGGAATGCCTTACGTCTAAACATCGCAGTGAACTGCTCAGAGATTCTTCTAAACAGTGCTTGCATAGCTGTGGTGTTACCAATGAAAGTGACACACATTTTCAGTCCTCTCGGTGGAATATCACAAACGGCTGTCTTCACATTATTCGGAATCCACTCAACAAAATAACTCGAGTTCTTATTCTGTACATTCAACATCTGCTCATCAACTTCCCTCATTGACATTCGACCACGGAAGATGGCGGCCACAGTCAAGTAACGTCCATTTCTTGGATCGCATGCAGCCATCATATTCTTCGCGTCGAACATTTGTTGTGTGAGTTCAGGAACAGTGAGTGCACGGTATTGTTGACTCCCACGACTAGTGAGTGGAGCGAAACCAGGCATGAAGAAATGAAGACGTGGGAATGGCACCATATTCACCGCCAGTTTGCGTAGATCCGCATTCAGCTGACCAGGGAATCGAAGACACGTTGTCACTCCCGACATCGTCGCACTCACCAAGTGATTCAAATCGCCGTATGTCGGGTTGGTTAATTTCAGCGTCCTGAAGCAGATATCGTAGAGTGCTTCGTTGTCAATGCAGAATGTCTCATCAGTGTTCTCGACGAGTTGGTGGACGGACAGTGTAGCATTGTATGGCTCGACAACGGTGTCTGACACCTGGAAAATACAGGCGTAAATTACAAGCTTTATGTTCTAGACCATCTATTGTTGTAAAAGGAAAACAGCAGTTATTGCAATGCACTTCACATTCTATGATTCAATTCAATGCAATGCAATACAATGTAATGAAATGCAGTGGGGGTGTAGACAAAGAGGCTAATTAGCGTCAGACTGGTTGGGGCAAGACTGAGATATTTCTACGGCTATCACTCTAACAATGTGTAGGTGTGTGTGTGTGTGTGAGTATAATTCAGCTCTGAGAAATCGATGGAGACACTGAATAATAAATAGTCTACTACCTCAACATTTGTCTCCAATCACTTGAAATGACTGGAATACTGATGTGGAATATGTGATATATTGAAGTATAATGCTGTGCTCTATGAGAGTGATTTGTTAGATGACGAGTGAATATTGAATTCACTCTCTATGTTGGAGGGGGTTGGATGAACAGAAAACACACTGCATTCACACTGATTGAGTTCGTGCAGACGTGTTCAGACGAGAGGGGTGAATAGTTAGAATGCATTCAGATGCCTACATTCCCGACTGTTTTATGGAATACTGAATAGCTGTTCTGCAGGTTAGGCGATGGGGCTGGTATTTCCCAGATGAACTCTCGATAACTTTATCCAATTGTTACCAGTCACCGACTCTTCTGACATCAGGGATGTAACAGCGGATGACGATCTGAGTACACCACCTTCAAGAGGCAGTTGAAGGAGTGTACCACCTTACATTTTCAATTTCTGTGGATTACTGTACACTTCACTGATTTCATCTCTTAACAATAGTTAGAATATGCATTTCATGGATTTACTTTCTTCCTGCTATGTCGGTGGAATTACAACTAGGATTGATGACTGGTCTAAAGCTGAATGAGTTTGGTGGTAATTAAGCGGTCCCATGATTGCTCGCGAACATTTCATGTGTACAATGAAGAAATATCCTGTAGATAAATATGAGTGTGTATGAACACTACGTGTTCATTTGAATTGAAATGCCTAAGTGGTATTGAGTTGAGTCGTAATGAGTTAGCTAAAGGTCACCTGATCATATAAACTGACTGGACTGATAAATACTGCTTTAAACTATAGCTGTCAATGAAAGTAGCTTGTATTTCGGTATTCTATCAGAAACTCAGAATATCCCTCACACAAATGCATAGAATTAAGTGAACACATCCGACCAGCAATACAAAATATTGACATTAGCACACTTCGACATAGATTTCTATACTGTCTAAAATTTGTGTCAGACACATTATTTCCATAGTTAACACGGTTCAATGCTGCGCTAAAATGTTGAGCTGATGCGACTTACTTTGGGTGACGGGACAACAGAGAATGTGTTCATTATTCGATCAGGATATTCCTCACGGATTTTCGAGATCAACAGTGTTCCCATACCTGAACCCGTTCCACCACCAAGTGAATGAGTCAACTGGAAACCTTGAAGGGAATCCGTGTTCTCCGCCTCCTTACGCATCACATCCAAGACTGAATCGACGAGTTCGGCGCCTTCTGTATAATGGCCTTTAGCCCAGTTATTTCCAGCACCACTCTGTCCAAAGACAAAATTGTCTGGACGAAATAATTTCCCAAACGGACCTGTACGAACACTGTCCATTGTTCCTGGCTCCAAATCGACTAATATTGCACGTGGTACATATTTGTCGGAAGAGGCTTCGTTGTAGTACACTGTGATTCTTTCCAGTTGAAGTGAGGATTCACCAATATACGTCCCCACAGGATCAATACCGTGCTCGTCTGAAATCACCTCCCAAAACTGAAAATGAGTAAAGTGAAATATTCAGTCAATGGAAACAATACCCAGATGGCGATACACTTTAATAATGAACGATGAGAATTACTTTGTCACTTTGTATAAACTGTCTGCCTGATGTCGACAAGTTTAGTCGACCAATGTCATTTAGAAATGAAGAATGACGTGAATGTATGTCCACTCACATGACACACTGAATAAACTAGTGAATGTCATCAAATGAATGAAGGATAGGTGATATTCTTGTCAGTGGATTTATTGTCATCATTTCTTACAAATATAAAATCGAATTTCTTCTCGTGATGACTGATCACTATGAGGGTGTGGGTGGTTGAATACATTAATGGGTGTGGATATCAATCTCCCACTGCTTATCAGCTACAGGATGGATGTCCTAAAGTTTCACTCAGATGTGTGGTGGTACTGGTGGTGTCCAGCGTGTCTAGTGTGTGGCGGATGCTCATCGAGGTGATTAATCCACCGTCTCAATGTCTACATCTCGAATTAACAGAAGGTACAGTTCACAAGTGATGATTGGATTACAACCCAATGACTGGATGGTCAGTAGGCTCGTGTCGTGACTATCTCTCGCACTGGAAGTCAATCTGAACGCAGAATATTCTTTTCAGTGAATTCACCCAAATTATCATGTGATGATGCGTCTGACCATTTCCAACTTCTCGAAAAATACCCATTTATTCATAAGTAAAAACACAGTTTTTGTTCAGCGAAGAAATTTCTTTTCAACGACTTCATTTTCAAGCTGTACAGTCGTATTTATATTACAGGAAAAGGTTATTAGGTGGCACTAAATAATTGCTCAGTCAATGTACGTATATATGTGATAAAAGTTATAAGGGGTAGAGTTGAAGTGGATAAATTACAAAAATATGAAAGATTGTTCTATAACAAAAATGTCGTGTTGTCTAAAAAATTATGAAAATTAGGAGTACGATTACGATAAGAATGAAGATGTGAAGTGAAGTGGAAAGAATTCAAGTGGTAAAATAAAATAAAAACTAGAAAGAAAATTATTATGACCAAGGTAAAGAAAGGGGTTTGACAGAACGCTTTTGAACACATAATTTAGGCTTCTGTTCATGTATAGCTAAAGCTTCGGCTATGCATAAGTGCAGAAAACGTAAACTTTTGGATCGATTGGATTTTGCCATGTATATAACTTTGAAAGATGAATCACGTGGGGCTAAATGACCAGACTCTAACAGGTGATCACAAATAGATGACTTTGCAGTTCTACGTTCGCCTTTCATTAACCAAACCGGATAGTGTTCAGCTACACGTTTCCAACTTATTGCATAGTGAGACATTGTTGTGGTACAACTACAAATCGACTACTGACGTGTCAAAATCACTTCTTTTAGGAATGGGTATGCCTTGGACCAATGACTATACGTTGAAAAGAAACAGTTGTGACCTCTGTTGCTATCGTGGATCTAGTCTCCCTCAGTTAACCTTCCCGTCGATTCCTTTTTATTCCTTCTCTTTATCTATTTCGATATTTTACAGGAGAAGTCCGTTAATGCATATTGTGCAACTATAAATCTCAGGGATGCAGTCGACTTCAAATGATGACCACATACTTGACCACTCATGTGTCACTCATATCACAGGTAGGCAGAAAACATGCCAGTGTAGGTGCTTGTGTATTTGCTAAATGTCAGTCTCCACTGTGTTGAGTTATGTTTGTGAACACTAGTAAAGGTGACGATATTTGTACTGAATGACTCTCCATCACATTATCATTGTTATTACTTTTGGTCCCGAATGGAACATAGGGCTTCATTAGCGCTACATAAGTTGGTGTAATATGACATTCGGGATTTCCGTTTTCTGATCGATTTCCTTTCTAGTCTCTCTCACTAAATCACCCCTCGAAGGCCAAACACATAGTTATTCAGTGGATAGTCAGCAATTAGACCACCTATAGAAGATAGACATTTAGCTGTCTTTTCTTTTCTAGTTATATATCGCATTGTTTGTGCGACTTCAGCAACCTATTGGCCTGTGGCACTGTGGTTAGGAATCTCGCCGACCATACACATGGTCCGGGTTTCGATCCCCTGCCGACGCACACCCAATATCAGTGGTTGGCCTGCAAAATTTGGGCTACCGATATCACATGCTGAAAATGCCAAACTTGCACCGAAAATACGGTGTGGCATCAAGCTGTAATCAAAATAAATCAAAAAAAAATATTTACACTTCACTCCGTTCTCTGAAAAGGGACAATGAGGACTCAACCTGTTGAAATACACTTCTGTATGTATGTATGTATGTATGTATATAGTGATGCAAGTATTTGCTTGGAGTGGGAAATATGTAAGTCCCACTACAGCGACAATGCGATTTCTGATAGCTGCTCTATTGTCTAGAATCATTCATGTTTACCAGTTGGAGAATACCGGTAATAATACAAGCTATTTGTTCAGAGCACAACATCAATACACAACACACAGTCTCTTCTGCATGAAATTCATGACTGAGATGTACCTTGACAATGGGTCCCATCGAACATCTGGTCAAGGCAAGGACAACATAATTTGCAGTATAAGATGAGCAGGGTTCAGGTCGATGATGCTCATCAACTAAACACAGCTCAAAATATATTGAGTATTAACAAAGTGAAAACATACACCGTTTTGCTTTTATTCAACAGAACACTGTCGTAAGGACAGTGGTTGAGGGGAGCGACAGTACATGAAATGTGATGGCATAATCAGTTACACATGAAAAAGGAAATAAAGAAGTCATTTGTGGTAATCAGCTTGGAGGAATATTCGAGATATTTTGGTGATTGACACAACACAAAATACACTAAGAGACGAGAGACTAGTAAGGGAACGCATACTACTTAATCATACACGAGTGAGCACTTGGAGATGATTTGAAATCAATCAAGTGAATTGAGATCGGTGTAGAGTTTTGGAATAATTTCCAAGTGTGTCCCATTTCCTTGCAAATGAAGAATAAGTCATCCACATATCTTGGGTAGAAGTTAGCTTATTTTCCCACTGTAGATTTTGATTTCATGTCATTTCTCTGTAGTTTTACAATGAATACATCAGCTAGCTTAACTCCTCTCCTGACCCACTCACCTTGACTCACTCAATTGATTCCTAATCATTTCGAAGTGATTACCTGCATATTATACACCATATTTTCACCCTGAATGTTTGCCCTCGTCTAGTGTCTTTGTGTTTAGTCAACCTCCAAAACATCTCGAATATTCCTGCAAACCGAATATGATAAATGACTTCTGCAAAAAATTATATTTGTAAAATCTCAGCGAGATTGAAATGAGTAATTCCAACGTTTCGTTCGGAAATCTGGTCCGAACTTCTTCAGGGAAATTAATCGAAATTAACATAACAGAGGTTTATATATAAAAGGAACATCTCTTGTTTTTAAAAACTTTGTCCAATCATGAGTCATAAAACAAGTATCAACAAGTATAATAAACAAAAACCTATGCACATAGGAAATTCTGATTAATAAATAAGAATGGATATGTATCACTAATTAATAATACTTGGTCAAAGTTCCCGACTGGCTATATCTACTTATGGATACGTAAAGAAATTGTTTTACAACTGTTTACCGCACACACATATATATAAACACTGTGTTTAAAATGTTTAACAACAGTAGACCAATATTTGTAAGTCCGAGGTCAAATTTTGATCATAGCTCATACAGTTTTTTGTTTATTATGCTAGCTAATACTTGTTTCATGACTCATGATTGGACAAAGTTTTTAAAAACAAGAGATGTTCCTTTTATATATAAACCTCTGTTATGTTAATTTCGATTAATTTCCCTGAAGAAGTTCGGACCAGATTTCCGAACGAAACGTTGGAATTACTCATTTCAATCTCGCTGAGATTTTACAAGTATAAATTTTTTACAAATGTCTACTTCTCACTCGGCGCCCAAATATTTTAGAACTATTCTGTCAAATCTTGACGAGAGTTCATTTGAATAAATGACTTCTTTATTTCCGTTTTCATTTGTAACTGATTATGCCATCACATTTCATCTACTGTCGCTCCCCTGAACCACAATCCTCACAACAGTGTCTTGCTGAACATGTATGTTCTCACTTTATTCATCTTATATATATTGTGAGGTGTGTGAAACCGATGAGCATCGCGAAATTGAAGCACAGACATTTTCTTATACTTCCAATTTGTTCCTCTCGTTTCGACGATGAGGTGTATCTGTATTTGTATGGAATCCACATTGCATTGGAACCGTGCTCTCTTCAAAGAACCTAGAGACCCCAATCACGTAACCAAGCAACACTCTCTACTATTAGGAGGCCTGAGTCACATGCAAAGAATCAAGGCATATGATCATTACCGTCATGTGGGCATTAGATTGTTCAAACTGTCCATATATGTCAGTTAATTGTAAGTGGTAATCGGTTGAAGGGAAACGCATAAATACAATGCACTTTTCCAATAAGTGAATGAATGAATGAATGACAAATGAGTTTAATCAGAGTATTAATTCTAGGTCAAGATATTGAAAAGTAACTGAGAAATAATCACTGTTGAATTTGTGAAGTGAACACTGATTGAAGACAGTTTGCTTCTCTATTGTTATCGCTCGTAGACACTGTGTACCGACACTGGGATACGTGTCGTTGCATACACCTTACTAGTGATATTCTACTGTAGTTAACTGAATTTGTCGAGTGTTAAGAAATGCAAACCAATAAGCATAAGGGAGTCAACGTGTGCGCATAATTCATAGTGGATGCTGCGATGATTCTATAGCATTCAGAGTATAACTGCCAACGCACAAATAAATTTTCATCTGACAATCAACATGAATTTAGTTTAGCTACAGAGGGAACTTACTTTGGATCCAATCTGATTCCCACATTGACCAATTTGTATATGCACTATTTCACGCATAGTGACAATTGAAACAGTTGTAAATGAGGTAAAAAGTATTTTATGAGAATTCGGAGTACACTCAAAAGATTGTCAGTTTAAATAGGTGTACTATTTCCCTCTTTCATCATTTATTGGTTAGGAGATTTCATAAATGGTTCAAAGTAGATAGTTATTGGATCTTGAGAACAAAAGGAAGTAACTGCAATATAATAGGTATCATAGAGTGTCCTTGACATCACATCAGTGTACTCATGGGTACTGCCTACCAACAAAGACAAACACATGCACACACACAAACACACTCAAACTCATTCACAAAGATAAACAAACATTTGATTATGTATCAGTTGTAAATTAAGAAACAACTACACTGAGAACTGTGTTCATCAGTATGCTGTATTCAGGTGGAGAGAAAATTGTCTTTTTTGGAGGAAGTGGTAGAGTGTATAAGGCATAAGCTTCATTATAACGATAAACATCTGCTCAGATGTCTTCATTAATTGATTAATTAATTTCCTATACACACCGACAAGTGTACGTGTAGTCATTGCATATATTACCAAGACTGGGATCATACAGGGTGTGAAGGTGGCGGGTGGGGTTGTGACAGGATTTCTAAAAATTAGAGATGGTATTCATTAATTGAAAATTCAGTCTCCTACTTATTCCATCTCTCTGTATTCCAGTTATGTCCAATCATTGTTTGGAGTTTGTAAGGGTGAAGAAAATTCAGTGAGAATATTAGGACAAAAGTGGCCATGGTTACGTGTTTATATCAACCTGTTCTATAGAAGACATTCATTATATGAAGAGAGAAGTACTTTTCCTTTGACCACAGTATATAATAGTACATTTGATCTACCTGTTTACTCTTTTAGTTAACTGAGAATATTTGGTTTGATAAGGCTCAGAGCTTAATGGAACCTGTGCTTGTTGACACAGGTCACTTCTGGATGTGAAGTGATAAGAAGGTTGATAATTAAAAGTGGTGGATGATGCAGACAGTGAGGTCGATTCGATCGATTTTGATGTGAATTTTAGATCGTAAAGTGAGAATTTGAAAGTAAGTGGTAACGAATTATTTTTGGTCATTGTAACTTCTCGAATGCAGAATGTTATCTATCTGTAAGCGGATTGTTTGCTGCAATATGGTGGAGGAACTTGTTTCGGATTAGAATTATTCCCCATCATAGGTGCAAAGCTTAACGAGTGTTCGCTTGCAATGAAGGCGACAGTGAGTTGTTCATGAAGTGGCAATAATAATAATTATTATAATTATAATAATGTAGGGCGACAAAGGCAGCAGTGTGTAAATCTAATGGGATTGAGTTATTCTCTTGAGAACTGTGTGTGGTTGATCCCAGAGTCAATATATTTGAAACCACCCTCGTGAATTTTTAGATTGACTACTTGTTACTGATTCAGTCTGTCGAACTCTGAGTGTGACTATCAGCCTGATGTGTAAATCTATCGGTTTTGTGTATTTTACTAAATGTCGTTTCTCGAATAGCGTTGTCCCATGCTGTCGTTTCTAAGGTGGATGAGATAGATACATGTTCCTGAGTATCCCGCCATCGTCATCATCATATTCATCGCCGTCATCATCATCATCATCAAAGCCGTACATTAAAATACCACACGTAGATTGAGGACATGTAACCATCTATCGTCACCATCCATAATCAGCAGAGTGATTATATATGGTCATACTTTGTTGTCAGTTCTCCCCAGCTTCGCCATCCATGGTTATTCGAATGATATCCTCCTTGGTGACATTGCAGATTAGCTGCTAGCATTTTAGTAGGCAAGTGATATTGTCTCACTGAGTAAACACGTACAGACTCGTTTAATGTCAGTCCGTCAGTTGGCGCCTGGTGTCTACAAGGAGACTAGTCACTCCATCTTAAGTATTACCTGTCCCTCGTTTTGATCAAAATCTGATCTTACATGACAACTGAAAGGTTTACGTCATCACTCTGTATCCATCAACCTGCAATATTTTGATATAGTGGTCCTTGAAGTCAATGCTTCTTCCCATGTCGAAATACAGTGTTTATTGGTAGTAAACAACTCAGAGTGGTGAATGCAGCACTGCCTGAGCTACTCATTCATAGGCTCATGACAATGGACTGAGACTGGTGATAAGAAGTACTGCATAATTCTAGCTATGCCAAATGGTCAGGCGTGTAAGTCCATTCGTCAGAATATAGTCGAAGGAGGAATTCAGTTTATCCAAGCCGTTCCATCCTCTTCATTGTATAAAGTGGAATAATTGCGCCCAGTATTTGTGCGTCGGTAGCACAGTGGTTAGGACTGTCGCCGACCATACACATGGTCCGAGGTTCGAGCCCCTGCCGACGAAGCACACCTGATATCTATGGTCGGCCTGGAAAATTTGGGCTACCGATATCCATGCTGAAAATTCCATACTTGTACCAAAAATACAGTGTGGAATCAAGCTGTAATCGAAAATTAAATTAAAATTTAAAAGAATTAATTTTTATTTTACTCTGCATTTATCATTTGCTGGAATTATTATATTCGGATTTTCTATTGCTCGATTGTATTCGACTGAGATGCTTGTTCTGCGTTGGTTGACACGTCGTTCCTCAATACAACAGAGGTTCCACTTCTGTGTTCAGGTTACCACGATGATACTTGGCTGATGGTGGCTGGCACAGAGATTCAGGTCGTGTGTTTCATCCCATTTGTGACTCATTATTCGAGTAGAGTAATAGGTCATAGAGAATCGAGGTGTAAAGTCCAAGTTATACATAGACGAGAAATACAACTTTATGAATGTCCAGGTTATTCTCTTTCTTCTTGAATCCGATATCTTCAGCTTCAGTTAATCACACACTTGTATGCAGAGAACTGACGGGTCTATAAACTACTGAGATTGTCCTCTTCATTTCAATCTGCTGTTGACTAACCATCAAATGAATGAGACAAGATGGAAGAATCACTCGATGATTTGCTTATCCTTATTCTCCACCAAAGTGTTTTGTGTGTACAGGACAAAATCTCTCATGTATGAGTGCTACAAATAGCCTTACGGAAACGGCTGATGTTTCGTGCACACATTGATTCGGCGATCAGCAGTGATTCACCTCTACTGAGCTGTCATTGTAGCTGTCGCTGAGTGACTGATGTGTAATTCCAGTAGATCTATTCAAACCACTAGTCAATAATTCGTGATATGACTCTTAATGACAACCTCTTCTTCTTACTGAATACTTTGTCTCACTTTACTGTGGTTAAGACATTGTTTCGTTTGTATTGCATTGTACTGAGCTGTACTCGACTGCACTACATTTTACTGTACTGTACTGATATGAAGCTATGGATGTGATCGGAGGGAACCGTTTCCTGAGATGTTTCTACTATGAGTATCTACATGCAACAGCCCTAAAGTCTTGAAGAAGCCTACAGCTCCAGGAATCTCTAAGGAAATCGTGTGAAGCCAGTCACTTTCAGCATTGCTTTCTCCTCACCACACAGAACACAGGCAAACACAAGTAGAGTTAATTGATCATACAAAGAGACCTTTATTTAAGATCTGAACTCCAAATTTTTATAATCATTTCTTTTGTCATTTATGTTGAGTTCATCAGTAAGATGTTCCCTTTCATTTAGAGAACAATTGAATAGCTGCATACAATACAGAAGTTCACATCCACAAAGTGTTGTCATGGATATGAATAGAATGGAAATGAAGAGTTCAAGATTTAATTAATAACAAGTACAAAAGCGAAACTTATTGACCAGTATGTGGTGATTATTATTATTATTATTACTAGGTACAAATGACGTATAGAAATAGTTTTCCCATCCTGATTACTTTAATATCTCTCTTACTAGATAGAAAATCTTAGGTGTATGGCAGATATATGAAGAGTGCAACTTGTGAAGATGGTGACAGTTTCATTTATGTAATAGTTTTCATGCATCCGTTGACAGTGATTTCGATATTCTGTTGGTCAGAAAGTGGTTTTCTGCTTCAAATATTAGTGATAGCCACAACTGCCTCTCGAGGTCACAGATGTTTGTTGGGATGAAATTGGAATGGTTAATAGATCGGTGGGTCATTCACTGTTTCTTCATTTTCTGTGACTACTCCTCTCATGTGAATTCCCGATGAATCTGTTTTCTTCATATTTATCAGTGGACTTGTCTACATTCCTCTTCTGAGAGTTTTACCTCCATGGAAGAATACGAAGGTGTAGAACTGATGAATAAATAGTGGTCAGAGTGAATTTTGGAAGTGTTACAGAGCAAGTCGTTATGAACAGATAGACTGCACATAGGTACTCTATCTTTATTCTCCGACCTTAAAAATGAGCGGGTGTTGTGATAATGGGCAAAGACGACTGTGTGCAAAAAGTCATATCAGGAATTGATATTATCATTTGAATTAACCATTTGAAAAAACATCCAGCTAAATCGATGGAAAATGGAATACCGAGAAACTAAGAAAATGTTTGATGAAGAAGCTGACTGACAACAACACATTTAATGAACTGAAGCCTAGAGGGTCCAAATTACCTTAATTTTACGGCTTACCAAAGACGTATAAGCCCAACGTTCCCACGAGACCAATACTATTCATGGTTGTTTCTCCATGTCACGCAGGATCTCGGTTGCTAGGAGAACTGCTGGAGCCAATCCGTTCCGAGTTATCTGTCTGTAGCTTGAGAGACACCTTTCAGCTCGCTAAACAATTAGAGAATCCAGATTTCTCAAATAAATACCTGGTGTCAGTTGACGTCTCTTCACTGTTTACAAAGATCCTGCTAGGAGAAACAATACAAATTAAGTTTGGACATTCTGATCGCATTGGTCTGGTAAAGAATGAACTCAGAGGAGTGCTGCTAATGTGTACTAAAGACATTTAGTTTCAATTAAACAATGTTCTGTACCACCGAATCGACGGAGTCGCTATGGGAAGTCCGCTGGGTCCGATTCTGGCAGACATTTTCATGAACAACCTGGGACAAAAAAGAATGAAGTCCGAAATCGATCAAACGGTCTTCTATACCAGGTATGTCGATGACATGCTTTTCATTTTTG